TATGATCCAGGGAAGATGGAAGTGCTCACTGGCACCACGCATAATTCATATACTGAGGGAGTGGAGAGTAATTTCATAGATTGTTGGATTGTTTTTGAGTTCAAAAGCAGAAAATCAGATATCTAAGGTTTCTCTTTACACCAGAGTTCCACCAGGTTTTGCAGTGCTCTCCCCGGCAGCATCACATTAGGCCTTTTTGGGGCATCCCATCATTCTTTATGCTGCAGTAAACCAGGTTGCTCAGCAAATGGTTTTCCAGCGAGTAAGCAAGAACTTGCTCATAAGACGCATGGGTGAGAAGCGTTATCAGGATGTAACCTGCATCGCAGAAGTGGATCCATGAGTCATGGATTACTCCTGACCCCACCAGATGAACCATTAGGTTCAGTGTCAAGGATAAATATGTTGATAGAGATGAAGTAAAGAAAAACGTGGGAAAAACACAATTAAAAAGCAACCATCCCCGAATTAACATATTTGCACAAAGTCCTTTATTTTCTGCTATAACATTGAAAAGCCTTAAAGAAAGAAGTCACCAAGCATCAAAACAATGATTTGTTCCTATTTCATCACCTCGTCACCAAGTTTCATTCATTCTAAAGTCATTTAAAAGGAAATGCTGCAGAAAAGGTAAACTCTGGTGCTGAGGTCTAATAGGGTTTATCCAGGAAGGGCGTTAATGTGATGATCAAGTCAAGTCAGCCTGCAACAGATTAAGTTTCCTTGGCTTTAAGAATAGAAAATTTGTTACAGAAGGAAAATTAGTCAGTAATAGAACAATATACTCTTTATCTGTACTTTCAATCAAAACCGTAAGATATATTCAAGTTATTTACATAACTGACAAACTAAACTATCTATAATATATCTTACATTTGGAAAGCAAAAATGGAAATACAGGGAAACTGAACACACATTCTCTTGCATTTCCTAACAAAGTGAATGAGATGCTGCAAAATGAGGTGAAATTACATAAGGTACCCTCAGGAGCCTTAAATAGGTATTCTTACCCCCTCATATTCCCTCCCTGGCTCTGCTTTTACCCCATCTAGCTGCCAACTTCGGCATTCACAAGGCTTTTGCTGAGAGGAATTATTAATTCAGACAAAAACAAAACAAAAACAACTAAAAAAAAAAACCAAAAAACAAAAAAACAAACCCAAAACTTCCTTTTCCTTGGGTTAGATGTGTCTGTGAAACAGTTTAACTTGCTAGTGAGTGTTACAATCAAAGCAAAGTAAGTGTTGAAAGCAAGTGGTAAAGGGAGGTAAAGAAGCTCCAAGGATACGGGACCAGAATAACGTATGGCAATATAAGATGTTACAAGCTTCAACTTCCTGGAGAAAAAGTTTCAGGCATTTCACGACTGCAGAAAATCTTGGGTTACTTTTATGAAGGCACAGGAAAAGCCAAAATTTAAAGTTTACTTTGTTTGTCCTGGAACAAAAAAAGTTTGAAGGTATTGTGTGTGCTCTGGTATTAGTAGCAGAACAGAAATACGAAAGGAAAAGAATTACCACGTGTATGGGAACTGCTGAATCATGCCATGAGACTCTGATTGACCACCTGAGGTGAGCAGTGAGTCAGCCCTGGGAGCACAGGTGAAGGCAATTCTCCTGTGCTACTGGAAGAGGTGGAGCCTGGCTCCACCTCTCCTGGTCCCCATTTAAGATCTGACTACCACTGGAGAAGTATCTCTTTTGGAGATTCCTCCTCTTGGAGTCTTCTCAATGAGCCCAGGACAAGGGTAAGCTTTCCATCCATTCTTCTTTAGTGTGATTACCTGTTAGCCTAACTTTCCTGTATGTTTCTTAATGATAACATCTGTATATTCATTGATTATACACCATGAAAGTATAGAGCAAACAATACAAACAGGATAGTAAATATCAAAGTTGAAATGTTGAATATGAGATTAAGACAGAACAAAGACGTGCAACAGATGCAAGTAAAAATACAGAATTAAAGCTTTGTGTAAAACACTGGGGAAAGTGAATTTAGAGAAAACAGAATACCAAGTCTAACAACCTGCATTACAGCGCTGTTACCACTGGCCTTAGAAGCTAGTGTCTGCACACATGTTAGCTGCTAATCAGTAATAACTATTGCATCTCAAATTATAGACTCAGTAGTAAGCATCCAATTTGATGCTTATCAGGTCCTAACCTCTGCCATTTCTAATCAATTTCTCATGCAATCTTATTCCTCCATTGTTTTACACAAACTCACGTTTACTTTGCAGATTAAGCTTTTCCCTCACATTACGTACATCTTATTAATGAAGTTATTTTAGAGCTGCACTGGAAGAAAGAACTAGATTTGTACATAGAAATGCTACATGGCACCATCCTATCACAACTGCAAGAACAGAGGAATGTAGATAAATGTATGTAGATAAAAATAACCAAGTAACAAACTTACAGAACAGTAATAAGCATAATAGCAGTGATATGTTTTAACTGGAGATTGTATCTTGCTGTAAAACAAACCTGCAAAAGATTAGATTCTAAAACCTGATTCTGGAGTTAAATGAGGGATTGTGAGCTCAAAGTTCATCAGTCTGTTACATACAGAATAGCAGAAAAGGCAAGAGAATCAATATGTAGCATAGCACTCCTAGTGCAGCAGAACACAGCTAAAAGGAAGTGTGTTTGCTGCGGTTCATCTAACGCGTACCATATGTGCCTCCCCAGCAGTAAGTCAAGTGACAGAAAATGTCACTTGGGCTTGAAGAGTGAACTTGGAGACATGAACATTTAGAAGAAAGGTTTGAGTGGAAAAGGGCATTACCAGGTGAAGTGATAAACAGTTATTCCTCTGTGCCCTGTGAGGCGCACTGCAAACTGCACAACTGTGAACTGAGTATCTTAAAGTTTACGTACTAAACTGAAAAGTTAATATGCAAAAATAGAAGAGGGAAATTTTATTCAGAGGGTGGGGGGATCCCTAGAACAGCTGCCCAGAGAAACCCCATCCCAGAGGTGCTCAAGGCCAGGTTGGATGGGGCCCTGAGAGCCTGAGCTGCTGGGTGGCAGCCCTGCCCATGGCACAGGGATGGGGCTTGGTGGGCTGGATGGGCTTTGGTCCCTTCCAACCCAAACCATTCTACGATTCAGTGATTCTGTGATTACTGGATGACACTGTGATAAATTGTCAGAACAAATTCCAGAATAAATTAAAGATCGGAAGTGCCGGCTAGTATAAAAAAAAGTTTGAAACAATAAAAGCCCTACATCATCAAGAAAGTTTGATTATACAAAACTACTTACATCCAGCAATTGAATAGAAATTAAATGCCACTAAGTGCACTTCGCACTGCATATATACTGGTTGTAATAACCCAGTAGGGACAAGGACATTTTAGACTAAGACTAGGAGATTTTCCTGGCAATAGTTTTTTTCAGTGTTGTCCCCCATTCAGCATCAGCTGCAGCAGTGCTTAGGAACTCCCAAGACATGGCACAAAATAAATATTGCATTTTGCTACATAAGATATTTTTTCCCCATCAAAATACCAGGAATTTACAGGCTTGCTACTATGCACTTCAAGTCAAGAAATGCAGTTTACTGTCATTAACATTAAATAAAAGACACCTTTCACCAACTTTAAGCTATTCAATCCTGGCAATCAGATCCATTCAGTGAAAAGGCTACTATTCTGTGTCTAATCGCAAAGCAGAGACAAAGCTCTCACCTTAGCATGCAAATAAAAGAAATAACCCATCATCTATAAGTACGGAATGCTTCTGACTAAAGCAGCCATCCCAATTTTTTTCATGCTTAATCACTTTTGGAAGAAGGGTTGCTGCAATGTTTTCCTTCGGCAAGCATCTTTGGTTAGTTTTCTCAGTGGGCTGAGGTAGTGGCTCTACCTGCTTGCAGGTACAATAAGTGAACAGATGCACACAAGTATTCTTCAGCCGTTAGAAGCCAACTATCTCTGGCCATTTCTTTTCAGAGTATGCTGTGACAGCATGCTGTCAGCTTAATATCGCTGCAGATAGCACCAGTCCCACCTTTGATCTGAAACACTACTTCTCTACATCAGAGCAAAGCTTTGTACGGCTACAAATATGAAGAGAACTGCACCTAATTAAAGCCACCTCAGCTAGGAAACAAACATTTCTGTAATGTGTGTACACGTATGAGCAGAGATTTTTGTCACTTTTCAGGCTACTTCTCTAATCAAGTTCTTAGTGCCATGCAGGTATGTCTGTCTACACAATTTTAAACAGTATTTAAGCAATTAACTAAACTGAAGGGGTATTACAGCTTGTAGAACAAGATGCTACGTTTAGCCAGAAGTCACTACTGTCTCTGTGGAGATACCTACAACAGCTTCCTGATATGAATTCAGAACATGAACACTATGAAATCTGAATCAATTCCTGGAAAATTCTCTCAATTACAATAAGAGATTAGAGAAACCAGTGTAATTCACAGCATCTTAAAGCTACCTGTTATGAATCCCATTAAATTCCTACTAGCAGCTTACTATGCTGCTACTTGCAGTTACGTCTTTGAGATCTAATGCTTACATTTCAGTCCCATGCTAGAAAATATTTGACTTTAAAAAAAAAAACCAAAAAAAAAAAACCCAACAACATAATGATCAAAAACCAGTCAATTGAAATTATTCAATGCAGAACTGAAAATGGTGGCAAATTCAAAATGAAAGTGATGGAAATTTTTTCCTAAGATAAATAGAAGTTTCTATTAAGCTCCCTTCTCAACCTAAACATTAGTCTCATTTGGACATAAAGCATTTTAACAATTTGTATTCCCCTGAAATATCCTCAGATACTGGATAGAATATTCACTTTAGAACTAAGTATATCTATCTATCTATCAGAACTAAGAAGATCTATCTGATTTTCACAACTCTTAACATCCATAATGCAACATTAGTATATGCAATGAGGTTGTGAGCATCTTTTTTATTGAACACCATATATTTTGGTTTACTAGAGTGTTGTTTAAAAACACACAAGCCACTTGGGTCAATCAGATTTAATTTAATAAAGATTTTCAGCCAGAAACTTACAGTTTGTTGAAGATATACTATAGCCTGTGAAATTTCTAGGGCTGAAGTAATGCCAATGTTTGTGTAAAAATCCATATTCAAAGTTTGTTTCAATTCTAGTATGTTTTGAAGACATCTGCAAGCAGGTACAATTAAGACTGTATATATAAGGTATACTGCAGTACTCAGTGATTATTTTCACATAATCAGTGATTTATTTTCAACGTACATTTTTGCCATGTGGCAACATAGTAGTTTTAAGTGAGACTGACTGTCACACCTTTCAGATAACCTTTTACCTGTTAAAAAAAAAAAAAAAAAAAAAAAAAAAAAAAAACCTTCCATTCATTCATCCCCAGGAGATTAATTGTCATTTTCTTTGAACATTTTGCTCAGCTGTTCCACTAGCGCTACAAGCTCAGGGTTTCCCCCAAGTGATTCAATTTGTTTATAGGCTTCAGATTCAAGCTCTTTCAGTGTATTCCGAGTGTACTCAAATGAACCCACGTTTTCAAGGTAATGCACGCAGTATTTTTTTATATCTATGTTTTCTGTCCTTTGACGCAAAATGTTTTGCACCTGTGTACTTTCAGGTTTTGACCAAATTGCATGAATAGTTGGGAATGAGAACTTGCCCTCAGTTAAGTCTTCACAAAAACTCTTGTTTTCACTATATTCTTTGGAGTGCAGGTTGGCATAGTCATCTCTTATTTGGAAGAAGAGACCAAGTGTGTTAAGAAGTGGTTTTAAGTCTTTCTTATAATTTGAGAAGAGCTGCATGAGGCCTACAGCTAATCCAAAGAGACCGCCTGTCTTCTGCAGTACCATAGCTTTGTATTCAGCTTCTGTAGGGCAGGTGTAAGTATCCCTCCAGTAAATGTCCAAGCCTTGACCTTTATGGAGTTCCAGTAGCTGACGAGTAAAAACTTTAACAGCATCTGGGTGATCAAGGGTTAAAACCTTCTCTAAGCCAAGGAAATACACATAATTAGCACAGTTGATTACAGATGGAATTCCATAGATACTGTGTGCCACTGGAAAGCCCCGTCGTAGCTTTGAGTTATCTTCAATATCATCCACAAGTAGGCTTGCATTGTGTAACATCTCTGTCACTTCAATAATAACCTATTACAAGAAGAGAAAATGATTATCTCCTGCATTTTTTCCAGCAAACTATCTAGCATTCAGTAACCACTATCCAAAAGGTTAAAACCTGAAACCCAGCAATCTAATTGTTTGCTTGCCCAAGATAATGACTCTGAGAGCAAACTATTTGAGCACTAATTACTCAGCTTTGAGATAGAAGTGAGGCCTACTTCAACTTGTAAAGATACTGTTTGATTTTAAAATCATGAAGGATAGAGTACTTACAAAAAGCAACATTGCAATACCTATTTTTCTGAATGCTGACTCAGTCCATTATGTCATTCCCAATACTGTCAGGAAAGTTCATCATTAGATAAGCCTATTCTAGCATTTCTCATTAGTCTATTTCATATCACTTAGTTTGTGGACTCCTGCAGTTTCTGGATATTTAAGGTTGAATTGAAATAATTTAGGATGTGCTTCGTGACTGCGAATTACCTCTTGAACTTCCATTAAAGACAGCATCAAAAATATCTTAGAGTTGAATGTGAGGAGGGAGGAAGTTCAGACAGCAGAAAAAAAACCCCTTATTTTCTAGAAGACAACAGGAAGTTGTCTGAGGAAGTGAAAAAACTGCACTTCATAATGAAAGCAGACCGGCATGCTTTCTTAAAAACTAAACCTAACTCACCAGCAGCTGCTGCAATGTAACTTTCAACAGATGGATTTTGCTACTTGAGCACTACGAAGCATCACACTTAGCCCATCCTAAAGAGGACTCCTTTACAAACACTAATGGCCTACCTGCTCATTAATGAAATTATTTAGGGACCAGATGGGTGTCAAGAAAAAAACAGTTATTTGAATTCCCTACATTACCTTGGATACAGAGAATCTCTTGCACCCTAAGTATACAGTTTGGCGTAACTGTAGTCTAGCCAAAAGGAAAATTTTGCATTTCAAAAGCCACAGCCTTTGAACATACAGCCATGCATCTTGCATAGATTTGTCCAAAAGAAAAAGAAAAGGGAAGGATTATTCTCGATGAAGTGCTTCACAGTGGGTAATAAGGGCTCTAAACTGTAGAAGTCTGCCATTTAAGGCCCGGAACAAGAAATGGTTTATAAAGGTTTAAAGGTTCGCTTGACTACTGGCTTTGATATTCTTGTGTCGAAATCATACAACTTTGTTCTCAGTCACTGTATTTCTAGGGCTTACAAAGTAACTGTCCAGCTTCCTTCACAAGTCATTGAAAACTTATTCCCATTGTTAATAACTGAAGTGAGTAACAATACTAGTTGCTCCTTCTACCACTCAGAAGGTTGAGCTTCGGTAGAAAGCATGTAACTATTCTACTTCAGACAAGTCACTGAAATCATAACTTCAGTGTTAAACCATAACTTTAGTGCAAAGCTTTGGCTATTTTCCTTAACTTGTACTTTCAGGTACTCAGGAATGATGTATTGTAAATGATCAGAAGTCTTAAATGCATTACACTAAGAACAATCTGTAGCTGACAATCTCGGAAGAAAGGTAAGAGCCTTGTAAAAATAATTAGTTAGTACCTGTATTTTATCTTCTGGAACATTAAGCCAGTGATTGAAGGCTTGTGACAATTTGGTTCTTACTTGCTTACCTACAATTAGAAAAAAAATAAAAGAAAAATCAAAGTCCAGTGTTAAATGCATCTTTATCTTAACAGCTGTAACTAATTTGAGACCAGTAAGCTGCTAAAAGCATGACCACTTCAAAGGGCAAAATACATTAAAGAAAGATTGTAGCTTGTTTCCTCATTGTATAAGCCTTAGAATTGAAGTTGCTGATAGCTGCAAACATTTTACAGTAATACACAAACAATGATATAAAAACGTGTATTTACATGTTACTGCAATTAGTCTTGGCAATTTAGTTAGCCAATTTAGTTAGATCATGATTCTGTTCGTAACCTCTACAAATAGATTTACTGCTTCTGGAAGCAAGTCCTAATTTGTTTGGCAGAGGAAACTTTCCTCCTGTTTCAGAGGAAAGAAAGGTAAGATTAGAAATCCAAATTTAGTGTTGAAACAAGTGTTAAAACAAGTGTTAAAATTCAATCTAGATACATTTTACCTGGAGGAGTTGATTTTAATTCAAGTTATCCTATAAATTATTGATGCCAGCTTTCTTTACTACATTGCTAGGGGTCACATACAAGTTTTCATTTAGTGCATCTATTGATGATCAATAGGAAATTGTTCAATAAAGTCACCTCCTGTGCAGCTCTGAACTTCAACTCAGCTGAGTCTAATATCTTCTATTAACAGCAAAACAGGCTTAGACAGAGTTCTGCAGCCTTAGCTCATCTCAATGAGCCACTTAAAAGCTATTACAAATAAACTTCAGAGCAGTGCAACCTATCTACTGGATTCCATATTACTCAAGACCTACTGAGAGACATAACTGAAGAATGATTCTGCAATATGAGTTTTCATGTTAATGATGCCACCCTGCCGTAGCACTGAACAGGTTTCAACATTTGAATGCCTCCCTGCGGATTCTCTCTGTTGTTGTGTGATCAGACATACAGAATGGAAAAATAAACACGGATAGATTAAATGATAAATCGTGGAAAAGAACAGGATTTATCCTTATCAAGTCACCAGCAGGTAAGCTGGTGGTAAGATTTGTGGTTTGGGTTCCGTAGTGGAGGTGGTAATCTTCCTCCGTTGCTCAAAGGGCTTCAATTTTTGCTTGGTCTCCATTTTCCATTACTTCTCACCATCTTTTGGTTTTCACCAGAAATTCACATTCACATTCAATTCAAATTCAATCACAAATTCACTGATTTAAAAGTTCATTATTTTAACATGGGCAACCAGGGCTCAAGTTCAAATAGAAAATTAGAATGGCACCCAAGATTTTAAAAGCCTCTCACATTAGCTAAGCACCACCACTACTTCAAGTTAGGCTTCTTTCTGACAACAGCTCCTGCAAATGCCAAGGATTTGAAATATTACCAATATTCAGATTTTTTTTACCCACTATGTGGGCAGATCAGATTTTGGCCAAATCTGTTCCCTGACCAGACTTGCTACCCAGTCATCACCACCAAATACTGCACAAACCAGGGCAGAAATGTCCTGCAGAGGTTTTTGTTTTTTATTTCCTTCTAATAATAATTGCATGAGTTAACTGAAGAGAAAATAATCCCTCAAAATATTGAAAACAACTGTTACAAACACATGCCAAGCTGCATGGCTTGCTAAGTACAAAAGAATAATTCAGAAAGTCCATAAAAAAAATTAGTCACAGATAATGTCATATTACAGATGTACACCTTATCTACAGCCATTTACATACTTCTAAATTACATTGATAAAAGCAACTGCAATTAAAAAATAGGCTGCTAATTCTGTTTTTTGAAATGTATTTACTAGAAAATAAGCTTACAGAAATGCTACAAGTTCAGTAACCAGTTATTTCATCATGAAGTACGTAAGTACTAGCATATAGTCTAAATGGACTCTTAATATGCACAGTGGATTTTGCCATTTAGTTTCTCACTACAGACAGCATTTAATTGTTAGACTTGTCTACCTTGAACACCAAGGCTGTCTAGACAAAAACTATTTATGGAAAAACCACTATCTACAGTAAAACATTCATCTTTACTTTTATAGGTGCAGATTTGCTTGTGTGAGCCCTATTACTGTTTCATAAATGATGCTGTATCTTGTTCTGAAGTCAATCCTACCACGTCTATTTGATATTAAAGCAATTTCCATATGCATATTTTATGCCTGCAGTCACACTACGATGGCAGCAGATCAGATCCTTTTAATATTGGTCTTAGAAGACTTGATACATTGGTACTCTGTTCCTTTACTTCTGCCTCCATCCCTAAAACCCTAAATTATGCAAGACACAGCCCACAGATGTTATGATAAAATTAAAAGGATTAGGACTTAACACTACCAGAATAATTCACTTTTTCTTCTCCACTGTTCCATGTCACTACACTGCTGACTAGTCAAAGGAGAGTACTGTAAAACTGAAGACTATCAAGATCTAACTTCCAAAATTAGCAGCTCTGCCTCCTGTACAGTCATAATTATAGACATTACTGAAACAAACTTTTAACAAAGTTATGCAGAATGTAGTCAGTTTGATCTGCTGAGGATCCCAGCAGTACCCTCGTCAAGCGACAACTATGCAAAACTTGTCTTCTCATTAGCAAAGCTGAGTGGACAAGCAAGGTAAGAGGAAAAAATAGAACATAACAGATTCACTCTGACAAAAATTCTCCATAGGGGAAAAATACGAATTTCCTATTCTTGAAACAAAGATCCACTTAGTGATGTCACTCTGAGGACAATCCCACCTCCTTAGGCAGGGGAGAGCTGCTTCTCTATGAGACTAACAACACGTGTATGTGTGATTTTCTCCTGACAGAGTACAGACCTCAGACTCAGACCTCCTGCTCTGAACAGGCTGCTGATCAGTATTTCTTTGCTCACACTGCATTAATATGACCTCAAACTATGCCCTTCAGGCAGAACCCCACTTAGATTGCGGGTACGTAAAAGGGATAGAACAGCATGAGAAAGAGCAGAGGGACCATCAACCCAGCCCTCATTAGAGCCTTGCTATGCTTATTCAACTCATTACTGCAGCAGAAAACTGCCTGCTTTTTGCTAGGTTAGCTTTCTGCCAGCTTTATGTACTGTATCAGCTTATGAAGTGGGTCTGCTCAAGTTTAGTACAGGCTAAGCAGCAGACGCTGAGAGACAGGAGAAAGAGGACCCTTCTGGATGAAGCAAGCCATTATATTACCTCAGTTTTATTGTACGCTTTCATATTTAGCTCTGCCATCTGATGGGTTAGGGCTAAACAGGTCTGTGCAGATCTTCCCACACAGCTATGGGAACACTACTGCCATACTATGTGAACTGCAGGCCTACACTTTCAAACCTAGGCAGCCACTTGGGACAGACCGAGGATTATCTATGTTAACCCCACACCCTGTTCAAAATAGGATTAATTAGTCCAGCACTGAGATTCTATTTTTCGCCTTGTTCTGTCCTGTCAGGATCCCCAGTTCCACCGTCCCACAGTCACACTGGACACAGTTGCTTCCACCCTTCATACAGCAACCAATTATTCCATGTTTGGAGGTGTGAAGTCCAGCAAAACACCTTCCCTCACCAACTCCTTGATCCTGTGTTAAGGAGTGGTCCTCAACGCATTCCCAAAAACTGACTGGATTGCCTATGCCCTGCTGTGTTGCTGCTTCTACAAGATACTAAGGTACTGAGCTATTCCACATCCAATATCACAATTAAATCACAACCCTACAATTGCATGCAGACCTCTAATTCATCCTTTTTATTCTCCACAGTCACTTTGCAGAGGTATTTAGTCCTATAGATTCTCCAGGATGTTTGAGAACTTCCCCGATCATGCTGCCCTTTTACTGTTTCCTTATTTTAGTGCATATATCTAAGGTGGGTTCCCTCCAGCTGTATTCATTAGAGGATCTCTTGTCTCCATCAGCCTATACCTTCCGCTTGCTAGTTTACCATTTCCTTACTTTATTTTGGGTATTGTCACTTTTAGTGTAAGTCCCTCCTCACCACATTGGTCAGCCTGTTGGCAGACATATTTCTGGGCTGACTTGGGCTGGTGGAACCCATCTCCTCCTAGGAGTTCTTAATCCACAAAGACAGTCCCTTGGTCATAAAACCCAAATCCCCGCTGCTGATATCAGCTGGGCAACTAACTGGTTATTGACATGAATGGTCTATTCCTTTTCATAGTAAGGAAAGGCTCAAAGATCAAGAAAAAACACTTGGTCTCCTGTGCCTTTGTCTCTCTCTCTGAAAGCCTTTTAATTGTGTTTGAAAAACTCTAGGTAACCCTTGGCTATATCCATTAGTCTTACGTGAAAGAGGTATAGGGTTCAGGTGCCTGATGATGAAACACACTGCGTGTAGTCTCTCCATAACATCCCTCTCCTGAGTTGCCAAGAAGCAGCAAGCCTCCTTAATATAACAGCTCAGATGGTAGCCTCTGTCCCCTGCAGGAAGCAGCCTCCCTACTCCTATCACTTGATGTTCACACCTAGAGCTGTGCTGTACAGAGCTTCTAGCCACTTGTTTTCTTTCAGTGCAATGAACTTATGTGACAAATACATATATTCATGAGATACAGGAATCTCCTTTGGTGTCAGAAGCCATGAGCTCCCTCCCTTCACTACTGTGGAGATCTCCATTTTGCAGCCTGACATGCATTCTTCCTGCCCCTCTTTCAATATACACAGGGCTCTTGAATCTTCAGGCTCTTGCAGAAGATCCTGTCCATCTCCTTCTAGTTATTTCTGATGCTTTGCAGCCTGCTGAACCTCTTCCGCTTGTCTTTTGCTTGGTGGAAGCAAGTTTTCCACCACTGCACCATTTGGAGGGCAAGGACACTACTTTCTCCTGATCTACTGGTATGCCCAAGCATCCCAGCAGTGCAAGAACTGAAAGCTGCCATCACTCTCAAGAACTTGGCCTAAACTGAGGGCTCTGATGAGCAAGATGCAGTTGCTCCAGTGGTAGGGATCACACCCTGTGGCACATCACCACCATTCTTAAGCACATTTGTGCTGCCCTCAGTTTCCAGTCCCCTTCTGTGTGAACTGAGCACCTATATCTGTTGGCTGCCTCCCAGCTGTACTCAAAAGAAATTAAAATAAAGTGAGAAAAAAAGTGTACTTGCTATTAAAATAATGATGTTTCAGTAATTATAAGAGAAACACCACCTTAATCTTGCTACTGCTGCTTCGTAACTCCTTCACCAAACTGGTCAAGTTCAACAACTCAGCAGAAAAAGCTGAAAAAACAAGAGCCAGTCTTGATTGTTTAGCAAGCTAAACAAGCCTGGAGCAATACACGTGAAAGGGAAAATGCCGAGTTGTGAATAGGATCAGAATCTACTCTTTTCAATTACAAGCTGTTGATCCAGTCACTTTTACTGCAACTGAAAGCCCATATTACTCGTTAGTGCTGCATAAACAGATACTGTCGTTAACTCAGCTACTTGGAGATGGAAGATGCTTCATCATCTCTGTGAATTTTCAAGACAAACCACATTATTGGCATTTCTGAAATTTATTGCTGCTTATTGTACTTTGTTTACCCATATAAATGACAGAAAACTAGACTGAGCAGAGTACAAACTACTATGGCAATTTTATGTACAAAATGGATTTACAACAAAGTTAGTATTTGGTACCTTCTGATTCAGTAAGTTCTGTTAATTCATGTTTATTCTGTCACTAGCATACTGGCAGTTAAAATGACAACAACTTAAAAAAGATTCCTTAAGCCTACTAGTTCTTCTAGCCAAAAGTCAAAGAAACAGACAAGCTTAGAGCTTAGGTATCAGCCCCAAAAAATTACCATTAAAGTCTTATTGGATTAACATCAAACAGTCAACCTCCTCTTGTATCAGGGGATTAACCCTTAGCATTGTTATAGAAGTTTGCATTCTCACACTACAAGCAAGGTTAGGAGACACTTAAGTTTTTAAGCAATCTTAATGAAGATACCAAATTCCTCTTTGTGTAAGAGTTTGATATGCATCTAACTTCATTCAAGTTCTCATAGGTTATTAAAGCACTTAAGAGATTTTGCTTTTTAACTAGTCCTACAAGATAAGCAACTGCTTATTTGACTCACAGCCAAGCTTGCTCTAGAAGCCTCTCAGATGTGCCTACCCTTGTGCCACTTCACTGACAGGATAAAAGATGGGCTATTCTGTCAGGCAGGCTTTTTAACAGGTTAGGTGATAGATACCTAATCATTTGGTCATTGAGCTGAGAACTGGCACAAGAAGCAAGAGAATACCGCCAGAAGAAAGATGGAACAAAATTGCCTTTTGCAGCAAAGACTTGTTAGATTTGCTCAGGTACCTCATCTGGGCTCCACCCTAATTACGAACTGCTAGCATATGTCTCATTTTCCCTTCACCAAGCCTTGGTGTTCACACTGATGCCAAGGCTGACACAAGTAGCTGACTCCTACTGACCTGTGCTTGGCATAGCTGACTTGGGGCAAAGCTGGTGTTTCAAACCATCCAGCTGTATGATTAAGTACAAGTGCTCCACAGGCACACAACTTTTACCCGCCCAACTTAAAAGAATTCTTCTGTTCTGAATCACGCCAATATTCCTGCATGGAGAAAAGTGTATCTTATCTCTCACCTTCTCAAAGCATAAATTAAATTAACAAGAGATCAACATGCTTCAGCGGACAATCGGATTTATGATACTTGATCTTACACTGATGGTCCATATGAGATAAGCCATTAGGATACAGTGATTAAGGCTGAACACACAATGAAGTACAGGAATTCAGTCAGAGGAGTCAAGGTGGGAAGGTTAAACGAAATGCATAATACAAAGTGAAAGCTAATTGAAGAACTATCAGTCAAGAACTTATACTTGCAGTTGTTTTTTTGGTTTTGTTTTGTTTGGGTTTTTTTTTGGGGGGGGTCCCCTATGTGTGTTTTTTTTTTTTTTGGGGGGGGTGTATTATATATTTGCTTCATTGCTAGTCACTACAATTTTTTTATTTTTTAAAAAGCAGCTGAAGACACAGAAGTGCTGTGATACCTCTTTGCTTGTATTAGATAAACTAACCAAAAAATAACACTCTTAAAGATTGTGCTGGAGAAAAGTAAATTTCTGCAAGACCAGATCTTAGAAAGCCCCTCGAAATATCTCAGAATCATTCTCAAATACATTTTCAAGAAAAAGCCACCATCCAGTTTAAATGCTGTCAGGAAATGGCAAACAAATTTCCTGGCATTAAAAAATGAGCGCTACTGCCAAATTCTCTCCTCCTCTAGGTTTTCAACGACAGCGCCTGGCAGCACAAAGTGCCAACTCCATTGCAATCTCTAATGTAGACAAAATGAAACTGATATTTGTAGAGATGAATAATAAACCTCACTACACAGAGGTTACAGACCCACCATGCCGATACAAATATCAGTCTAAGTTTTGCTGCAGATGTACGAAGCCACTTAGTACTGAACTTGTGATTAGTTACGCTATTTGTCTTGGTAAGTCTTCTATCCCCAGTCACATATAATTCTGGTCAGTTATCTTCCTTAATAACTGAGAAATATTATATACCCATTAACTCTGCCAGTATTCAATACAAGTTGGATAGAAGTAAATGATGCAACAGCTCGCACAGCAAAGTTACTTCTAGAGTCACTGATAGCCTAATGTGGTTTTCCTGCTGCTTTAGGTGAACAGATGAGAGTCACAGCAAACAGTATGACTATTTGTTCAGCAAAGAGGCTTTTGAGTGGCACATGCATACAGAAATTTTCTATCAAACTGCCTCCCGTATTCTGCTAAAATAGCTATTATTGAAGAGGGAAAACTTCATCTCAGTGTGTTGCTAATGGCCTGATACAACACAAGGACTGACAAGTCAAGTAATCCAGGACAGTCAAAATACTAAAACCTGGCTCTATACTCATCAGGGAGGAGAAATAACAATAACACAGACTATTTAAAACATACACACAGCCCATCAACTCCAGTACAGCAAGCTGTTAAGTGTTGAGCTGCGATGTTTCATCCTTCAGGAATAGCACCAGGTCTTCAGTACTTGCCTGTATCCATTTCAGCAAGTAGCAAATCAGCTACTCTGAATGGAGGGCAGAGCAACTGAAAGAAAACTATCTGCGCTGCAGCAGACAAATGCAATTGCTACTGTATGAATCACCAGAAGGATAGTTTCACAAGAGAAGAAAAAACAACAAATATAGAAAAATGTTAGCTTTAATTACTCTTAAACCCAAGTATCAAGAATGGATTGTATTTCCTAGGTTATAAAAGTAACATTGGTATTTTGAAGTAACACAGTAAAAATAAACTTGCCTGGTAGTTGAAGTAAATACTGGTATGGCTCTAGGATTCTTTTAGATGTTTCATCCATCTCATCCATGTCTCTTTCATAAAAGGTAGTTTGCTGTTAAAGAAAGTGTTATTAACACTGTTTAGATTTAAAAAAAAAAAAACAACAAACAAACAAAAAAAAAAAAAAAAAAAAAAGCCAAAACAACCAAGCAGTGAAGTAACGAAATAGAGGAGCAAGCATTCAGGAAAAAAAAATTAGCTGACCTCCATGCTAGGTGTAAGTGCTGCAGTTTTAATTACAACGGCGACTACAAAATTCACTGTGAAAGAAAAGTTTTATGGATGGCACTCAGACAAGAAGCAAACATATGTTTTAAGTACAGGTTTCTTTATTTATTCATGAGTAGTTTAAATCAACTCCTAGACTTTTATCTGTATCAGAGGGCTTAGATGAAAGAGAAACATTTAAAACATTAGCATTCACAACAATTGAGCCACACTGTAGATCCATGGAGAAGACACTCAGCACATACAAACCTTGCACAATTAATCTGATCAGACGTCCCTAAATGCTGCACCCATACAAAAGTGCAGATCCCTAAGAGCAGAAAATATACCTTACACCAATGCAGCTTAACTAAGTTGAAAACAAAGTTGAGCCTTCTGACAGCATTCTTCAGTCCTCTTTTAGAAGACAGTAATGTACTGTTTCCTTGCCACTGCTTAAACACACAGTCATCTTTACATACGCTACATACATTGTATTCTTGCAATAAATCTTTTAGGATCCATTCCCTCCATAGCTCAACAATTATGTATTGATTATTTTTCAGTTCACATACGCTTTGATCATCCATATTTGCATTTTTTTCAGACTGTTTTCTATAATGGATCTTTTCCTCCTTTCACCTCTAGCCTTCCTTGCTGCACTGCAGATACAGCAGCTCAAAACAATTCTTCTAATGTCATTTTAAGACAGGAACTGCAGCAGCAGCACAGAGGCTCATGCTACTTCAGCAGTGCTTTTCAGCTATTCTGCTCCCTCCTCCCCTGAGCTATTCAATAGTTCTATAAATTATCAATAAAACTAACTAATTTAAAGTGAGTTTGTAAGCATGGACTGATGCATTTTTAATGTAGGAACATTAAGGGGAGTGGCTGACATGAGTGAAATATACTGTGTTCCACATTTGCTCAAAGTAATCCAGCAATAGTTTCCCACAAACAACTCAAAGGAGCGGTATTAAGATCATTGCTTCCCCTTAAACTACCTGGACAAACTGGACCTTCCCCTGCCAGCAACAGCTCAGTCACTTCCTGCTTACTCCCATTCCCACCTTCTGGAGCCATATATATTTGATATATTGATTTTTAGAGAGGGTATTTAAGCAAACATGGCTGCCACTGAAATGCAGGCATTTCCAGAAAGGTGCAGTCATGCATGCATGGTCTCTTAGCAGTAATGTCATAACAAGCAGTGCACCTTTCCATCACTTATCCCATGATATGTCAGCACAATTAGCTGTCAGGATCTGAACCAGGTTTGTATGACATCCTTAGCTCCCTGTTGTTCTCACATTATTAGCAGAGCTTCGGAGATTGGAACTGCTTTTAAGCCAGGGCTGCCTCTGAGAGCATCAGCTGTAAAACTGCACCCTTATGTACCAAGGATAATCTCAACAGACTTCAGTGAGGAAGTGAAATAATAAGACTCTCACAGTCCACCATCTGATTTTTTAAGGAGAAAGAGGAACTTGTACAGATAGATGTGCAGAGACACCATCAAGTTGGCCACTTTCCTGTGACTATTACATGTCAAAAAGCCACACAGTTCAAAATTGAAAGTGCTTAGCTACCCAGCAGCACTGGGAGGAGATGGTGGAGTGGGAATTTCTTCTCTGTAACAGTTTCCCACTGATACAGTACCTACGGGCATTCAGTGAGCATGCATTGCAACGTAAGAAAACAAAGACGACTGTAATCTGAAGATTACTTCCCATCCACTCTGACAAGTTGCCTAAAAGTACATCCTAAAATTCTTCCTATCCCCTGCAGTTTATTAGGAGGCTTCTCCCCTGTCTGTAGGTAACTAATGCACTGTTCAAATCCTCAAACAGCTGGAAATTGGCTGGTATTACACCACATCAAATCATCTTTGTATCTTTTGGTGTCAAACTAATAGGAATGCTCCAAAATGCTGCTTATCTTAAAAAAATAAAAATCAAAAATTTCTCAAGGCACTTTTCCACAGATGCCTTTTTTTTTTTTTTTAATAAAGCAGAAAAGCAAGATAGGTTATGGCTGAGCTTCATTTTTATTTTTCTTAAACAATGTAAAAAAAGCTCTAAAAATGATGGCAGCTTCCCTGGAATCACTGCAGCTAAGCTTCCAAGGCTGCTGCACTGCCTCTAAATGAAGTACCTAACCTCTGCAAAGAAAGAGTGCAGTACTTCAAGAGGCACCTACATGGCTAATGCACTCATAAAAACTGGAACACTGGCCAGAGTTGCCCCAAAACTTATAGAAGAAAGAGATGCTTGACAAAAGATATCTAAATGAAGGTGCTTATCTAGAATACCACAAAGTATGAGAGTAATATTGTGGTAATCTCTTCACAGAGAGTCACATTTGACACACCTTGGGAAATGTGTGATATGTGAGTTATCCAACCCTCGATATTAAGGGTTTTCTGATGTGGTTACTGAGTGATTTACTTCAGAAACTCAGCTGCTGCAGAGAGCTTTCTCACAAAAATTTCAGTTAATGCCTCCCAACTTCCCTGTCAGCAGGAAGAAGTCAGGCAATAAGTGAAAGGGAACATAAAGTTGTCTGTTAGTTGTATGGTAACTGTTGAGTCACAGCCAGAACCACAAATTGATCACCTGAGGCAAGGACCTGGCCAGCCCTGACAGCACAGGTGAAGGCAATTCAGCTGTGTGATCAGAGGGGTGGAGCCTGGCTGCACCTCTCTTAGACCTCATTTAAAGGCTGACTGCCACTAGGGAAAGATCTCTTTCTGGAGATCCCTCCTTTGTGGAGGTTTTCATTGCAAGCCTGAATTTTCCCTGTGTGATCCACAATGAGATGGTTTTGGACCTGCTCTGAAAGCTGGATGCTCACAAGTCCGTGGGGCTGGATGGATTGCACCCTAGTGTGCTGAGGGAGTTGGTGGATGTGGTTGCCAAGCTATTCTCCATCATTTTTTAGGCAGTCCTGGCTAACTGGGGATGTCCTAGGGGATTAGAGACTGGCAAACGTGATGCCTATCTTCAAAAAGGGCTGGAAAGATGATCTTGGTAGCTACAGACCTGTCAGACTCACCTCAGTGCCCAGGAAGGTTATGGAATGGATAATCTCGGGTGCCATCATGGACCAGTTAAAGGATAACCAGAGGATGGTTAACTTAGGCCCAGTCAGCATGGGTTTATGAATTGTAGATCCTGTCTGACAAACCTGATTTCATTCTATGACAAGGTGACACACTTAGTGGATGGGGGTAAGGCTGTCAATGTGGTCTACCTGGACTTCAGTAAGGCCTTTGACGCTTTCCTCACAACTTTCTCATGGAGAAGCTGGCTGGCCACGGTCTGGATGGGCTCTGCTGGGTGAAACACTGCCTGGATGGCCAGGCCCAAAGAGTTGTGGTCAATGGAGTTAAATTGGTGGCCAGTCATGAGCGGTGTCCCCTGGGGCTTGGTACTGGGACTGCTTCTATTTAACATGATTAATGATCTTGATGAGGGGATTGAGTGCGCCCTCAGTAAGTTTGCAGACGACACCAAGCTGGGAGTGTTGATCTGCCAGAAGAGAGAAGGGCACTACAGAGGGGAGAAGAACCTGGATAAACTGGATCAATGGGCCAAGGCAAACTGTACGAGGTTTCATAGGGCCAAGTGTCAGGTCCTGCATTTTGGTCACAACAGCTCCAGGCAACCCTACAGGCTTTTGGAAGAGTGGCTGGAAAGCTGCCTGATGGAAACATTGGTGTGCTGATGGGCAGTAGACTGAATGTGAGCCAGCAGTGTGCCCAGGTGGCCAAGAAGGCCAATGCATCCTGGCTTGTATCAGGAATGGTGTGGTGAGCAAGACTAGGAAAGTAATTCTGCCCCTGTACTCAGCAATGGTGTGGCCGCACCTTGAGTACTGTGCTCAGTTTGGGCACCTCAGTACAGAAAGGACATTGAGGTGCTGGAGCAGGTCCAAAGATAGGCAACAAGGCTTGTGAAGGGCTTGGAGAATGTGCTCTATGAGGAGAGACTGAAGGAACCGGGGCTCCTTAGTGTAGGGAAGAGGAGGCTGAGGGAGACCTTATTGTTCTCTTCCAATACCTGAAAGGTGCTTACAGTGAGAGTGGGGTCGGTCTCTTCTCACTGGGGACAGGAATATGGGAAATGGCCTCAAGTTGTGCCAGGGTAAGTTTAGGTTGGATATCAGGAAACACTTTTTTACAGAAAAGGTTGTTAAGCACTGGAATAGTCTTCCCTAGGGAGGTGGCTGAGTCACCATCCCTGGATGTGTTTAAAAACTGGATGTAGTGCTCAGGGACATGATTTAGCAGAGGGTTGTTAGTTAGGGTAGTATGGTTAGGTTGCGTTTGGACTTGATGATTTTTAAGGTCTTTTCCAACATGAGTGATTCTATGATCTGAATACAGGTGAGCATTTCTTCTGTTTGTTTCTTTCCATTTCTCTATAATATTCTTTCCAGCTGTAACATTAGTGAAACTGGAAGAAATGATTGCACCTGTCAGAAAAAAAAAAACAAAAACCCAACCCGGAACACTTGATGCTGTTCTGCTTAGTTCAGTTTCCTTTTGAACTCGTATGTGCACCTGCTGTGTTTCAGTTCATGCACAGCTCGGTTCTTCTTCAGCAGTTCTTCCTTCTTTCCCCTCACACAGCCCAGCTGCTGCAGGTATGGGCTCACAACCACACCTCAGAGCCCGCAGCACTGCCCTAAGCTGCAGCAAGCTTTATCTCCAAGGATCTATACAGACTGGAAGGAGCAGTCCTCGAGAGCAGCCCTGCAGACAAGAACCTGGGGGTCCTGACAGACCAAAAACTTAACATGAGCCAGCAATGTGCCCTTGCAGCTCAGAAAGCAAATGGTATCCTGGACTCCATCAGAAGAAGTGTGGCCAGCAGGGACAGGGAGGTGATTGTCCCCCTCTACTCTGCTCATGAGGCCCCATTTGGAGTACTGTGTCCAGGTCTGGAGTCCCCAGTACAAGAAAGACAGAGAGCTCTTGGAGAGGGTCCAGAGGAGAGCCATGATCAGGGGACTGGAGCACCTCCCTACAAAGACAGGCTGAGCGAGCTGGGCTTGTTCAGCCTGGAGAAAAGAAGGCTGCGGGATGACCTCAGTGCAGCCTTTCAGTACCTAAAGGGAGCCTACAAACAGGAGGGGAATCAACTCTTTGAAAGGGTTGACAACTGCAGGACAAGGGGAAGTGGTTTTAAGTTGAGGGAGGGAAGATTGAGGTTGGATGTCAGGGGGGAAATTCTTTACAGAGAGAGTGGTGAGGTGCTGGAACAGGCTGCCCAGGGAGGGTGTGGATGCCCCATCCCTGGAGGTGTTCAAGGCCAGACTGGATGGGGCCGTGGGCAGCCTGGTCTAGTATTAAATGGGGAGGTTGGTGGCCCTGTATGTGGCGGAGGGGTTGGAGATTCGTGATGCTTTTGAGGTCCCTTCCAACCCGGGCCATTCTGTGATCTCTTTGTAAAGGCAAAGGGCACTGAAGGCAGACAGCAGCACAGGCCTCTGGAACACAGAGTCTTCCTCAGACTTGGAACTGTGACCCGTGCACAGCAGTAAAGTAATGTGAGTTCTAAGCTATGTGTCAAGGAGCTTCTTCACTTCAGAACTTCCCCTAAAACAGCTTTCTTCCATCCCATCCTTTAGACACTCCCACATATCTCAAGGGGAGGACGAAGCCCGCTGAAGTTAGCAGGGCCCAACGCACACCTAACAAACAAGGCGGGCTGACGGGCAGCAGCGCCTCAGCAGTTCCAAGCACCGCACAGCCGCACGGGAACCCAAGCGGCGACGGAGCAGAGCGCCACGGCCGAAAGGCGCAGCCGTAGCGCGGCACTAACCGGGGCACCGCGCCGCGGCGGGCGGTGCAGAGTGAGGCCCGCGCACACACGGCAGTGGATGTGCATCGTCCCAGGGAGGCTGTAAGGGCTCCTAACCCGAGTTCGGGCAGGACGCCCGCCGTCGCAGCCCGCATTCTCATTCTAGTTAGAGCAGCGCTCCCTATCACCCTCTGGGGTAGACGGAGCGAAACCTCACGCAGCTTTAGCGCACCGACGACAGGGCGGCAATTCGCTTCCTTTTCTACCGCGCGGGGTTGCCCCGAGATGCACAGCCAAGCCACACGAGTGCCGTCACCGCCATGTTACGCGAACCAGACTGCAGCGCGCGGGGACGCCGCACCACCCCCTCTCTTCCCGCCCCCCCCTTCCCGGGCAGCTCGCCAGCCCCTCCCCGCCACCCGGCTTCTTCCCGCTGGGGAGGACCGGCCTCGCTGCCTCCGCCGCCCCCCCAGTCCGGGCACCTCCCACCCGGCTAGCGGCCAGGCAGCTCGAAAACGCTCCAACCGCCCCGGCTCTGTGGCCGCTCACCTCGCTTTCAGCGGCGGCCCGAGCCGCACCCGCTCCGCTCCGGCAGTAGCAGCAGCGCCGCTCTGCTGGAAGAGCGCCGCCCTCTTCCGCTCCGCCGGGCGCCACCTTCCTCTCTTGGGGGAAAATGCGCCACCGGGGCCGCACCGCGCAGGCGCCGGCTGTGCCTCCTCCCTGAATTAGCATTCGGCCAAGGACCCGCCCCCTCGCGGTGGCCGCGCGCGGTGTGGTCTGGGATATGTAGTCCACGACCGGCGCTAAATCGCTTCTCGTCCGAAACGAGAGGCGGTGAAGAACACCATCACCCATGAACCTCTTCGGCACCGAGTCTCAGTTTCCATAGAAGTGGAGAAAAATGACGTCAGTATTTCCGACGCAGTAGCCAATGGGGCTGAGGAGGGGGCGGGCTCTGAGTGCCGGAGCCCAATGGAGGAGGCGGGGAGAGGGGCGTGGCCCGGCCCGTCCGTCCGTCAGTCAGCCGCTCGGTGCGGGAGGGGGAGGGGGACCGAGAGGCTCCGAGCTCAGCAGTCACCGCCGCCGTCGCCGGGTCCGGGCGGGACGGATCGGATCGGCCCCGCCGAGCAGCAGCCGCAAGCAGAGCTGTTACGGAGCGCCGAGTGGGAGCCGAGGCCGGTGTGACGGGGACTCGGAGCCGAGAAGAGGCTTCGCCCCGCTCCCTTCGCTCCCCCCCGCCCGGGGTCGGGGAGCAGCGGGCGGGCGCCGCGGAACAAAGGTAACGGCGCGGGGCCGCGGGCAGAATACCGCTCCCCGCCGGCAGCGAGCGGGAGGCGTCGGGGGGGCGCGGGGTCGAGCCGCGACGGGGCGGGCGGGGGGAGGGGGGCGGTTGTTTTTCTCCTCGCGGCGCGACTGCGGCGGGACGCGGCGGCTCTGGGGCTTGGGGAGAGCGATCGGGGCCGCCTGGGCAGCCCCCCCTCAGCCCGCCCGCTGCCCTCGCACACACGCACACACACACACACGTACCGCCGCTCCGTGTCCCCGCTGAGCAGGTCGGGCCCCTCTCTCCCCGCCCCCTCCCGGCCCCGCTCCCTTCTTTTCTTCTTCTTCCTTTTCTTCCCTGCCGCCGCCGCGGCCCTCCCTCCTTCTCTCCCTCCCTTCTCCTCCCCCCGCCCGGCCCCGGCCCGGAGTTGCGGCTGTTGCTCCCCAACTCCTGCGGCGGGTTCGGCGCTCCCTGTACGTGCGGAGGGGGGGGGGGGGAGTGTGGGGGGAAGGCGCGGGGAGGGGCCGCGGCCGCAGCCCCCACAAAGCGGCTCCCCCCGGGGGGCCTTCCCGCACAATGGAGGAAGGGCCTCCCTTCCCCGGTCCCCGTCGCGGAGTGCGCGTGTGGAGGGGCCGCGACCCGGGGAGGCCCTTCCTGGCCGCGAGGAGAGGCCGGGGGGGGGGCCGTTGTTGTGGCAAGTTTCTTCTCCTCTGACAGAAATGGCGGCGGCGGGCGCGGGGGGAGCCGCGCCGTGCGGGAGCGGCCGGGGCGGAGGGAGGGAGAGAGAGAGGGAGGGCGGCCCGGGGAGGGCAGGGGGAGCCGCGGGGGGCAGCCCCCGGCCCGCTGTTGTACCCCGGTGTGAGCGGCCGGAGGGGCCCTCAGCGCTTTGTTTTAAATTCCAGGTCCGGCCTCGGCCGCTCAGCCCCCGCCGAGTGTTTTACCGCAGCCTGAGCTCATCATGAAGGTAACGCGGCCGCTCGTGTTGCGCTGGGAGTGGGGAGAGCGGTGGAGGGGCGGGGGGGGAGCGAGCTGAGCGGAGAGGGGCCCTCCCGTCTGTCTGTGTCTGACTGTCTGTCTGTCCGGACCCCGGCGCGGGGGGAGCCGCGCCACGGAGGGGCCATTCTGCCTCGGCGGCAGCGCTCGGAGCAGAGTGAGGACATGGCTGCCGGGCCGCGCTGCGGGCGGAGCGGGGACGGGCACCCGCCCGAGAGAGAGCGGCGGGGCGGGGGAGTGCCGGGCACGGGGGCTGCGCAGGGGCCGCCTCACTTTCTACTCCTTAATCGGAGTTCTGCTGAATGAGCGAGCTCAGTGTCGGCGGGGAGGGTGCCTGTGAGATGTTCTCCGCAGTGAAATGATCGCTGTAAGGTGCAGGCGGCTTTCAAACAGGTTCCGGTCTTCTTCTGTGTGTGCTGCGTGCTGTTCACGTGCATCATTGCTGCTCGTTTTGAGCTGTTTCTTTCTAGTGTATCTGGCAAGTTGTATAGGAAGCAAACCACGTTGGTGGGATAGTGTGATTTACTCTGCGTGGAAAAGATCGGTGTACCCCAAAGCAGTGTGTAACAGCTGCGGTTGTTGGGTTGCTGGCATTTTGCTGATGGTGTCTTTCTGCGAATGCTGTTGGTAGTACTGTCACACCAGGACCTGTAATCCAGATCCGGGTCCTGCCGGGCTGTGGTAAATCTTGCTTCAGAATATCAGAAATCTTAGAATTGTTGCAGGTCTGTGCTACATCGTCTTGTTGGTTTTTATTAAAAAAAAGGCAGCCTGTGTGTAGGCTCTTGTGCTATTGGAGTTGTGCTGCTGTCTGTGAATGAATGTTATGTAAAATATGTGCATAGAACTCTATTTGCAGCTGGTAATGGGAAGCGGTGCGGATCGTTTTAATTTCTAGATTGATCTGAGTTGCTGAGCAGAGAACTGAGTCTTACTATAGAGCTATTAAAGGTCCAGCATGCGGGTTTCCTTCTTCCTTTTTTGTTTTTTCCACTTTGATGACTCAACATCAGTATATTAAAAAAAAAAAAGAAGTATGTTTTAGCTGCACTCCCTATGCTTTTTCTTCAGCGAGCAAGCAGGTCTAAAATCCTGCATGCATCCTCCTTGTTAAAGTAAACTGTTGATGAATGTACGCCACCAGGCTGCCGATGGAGTATGATATGGAGCTTTCCAAATGTGGCTCACTGCCTGCTGGGGTTGTAGGAGATGGAAGCAGTAGGGAGCTTTTTCTTTTTTTTCCCTCCTCGGAAGGAAAAACACTTATTTAAATGACAGCTAAATTTACATACATTTCTAATATTCTTTTTCCATGTAAACAAATCCCACAGTTACCATGGAGATTAGGCTCAGATACTCTGGTTATAGAGCCGTATAAATGTAGAGAGCTGGGAGGATGAGGAGGTTGGATTGCAAGTGACAGTACAGAGTGCTCTGTGCAATAGCGATAGCGCCCACTTCAGCCAGAATCACACATGTAGTAGCAGAGATTTTAAGTAGGAAATTCAGAAACCTGTCAGTAGTCATATATTAGAAATGAAACAAACAAACAACAGACCCAGCACGTTGTTTCTTTGATAAGATTTCTGCTGCTATTGCCTTTTTATTTCTTTTTAAAGATCTTGATGGTTTCTGCCAGGGTGTTGGAATGCTGATGCTAAGTCTGCCATTTGTGTGTAGCTTTAAGTTTATATATGTTCAGGATAACTGTAAGAGCTTTATTTGCTGTGCCTCATAACGTTAACTGAGGTTAATCTGTACATTGGAACTTTCTTCACTTGTTACACTGAAACTTTTAATGGAATTGTAGCTCAACAGAATAGTCTAAAATACAGCAGTGTTTCCAAGACTCTTTTTTAAGATCTCAGTAATGATATGGTGCATCATGGTTTAAATCTGTAATTGATTTTCTAAGCTTGCACGGGTATAAGTGAGTCCAATAAGAAGTGTTATGAGAGAGCCTTAGGAAAGCTACTGGCTTTCTGTTGGTGTCACCACAAAGTAACACTGACTGTACTACACCAGTACTGCAACAATACAGATACTGTTTAAATAGATGCCTGTGTTTTTGAGTGCATTCATTTTTTAAGGTACTGGCAGTGTATGCCTCAAGGACACTTTGGCATAGAGAGAGTGTAACACTTTAAGGCCCAGCTTTAGTTTGAGGCTGCTGACTGCACACAGGCGCAGACTGCAGCACTGTTTGATTCCTGCCGAGGTCATTCTTTCAGGTGCAGAGGTTTTGTATTCCAACACATGAAGCAATTAGGACTGTGGTCCGAGTCTGTATCTTTGTCTCTTTGGGTGAACTTGAACAACTCACTTAGCTCTACAGAGTCATTTTTCCAATCTACGTAGTATAGATAGAATGTTTATTGTGCTTTGTAAAGCACAGTGGGGCATGTTTAGGAAGAGTGCCAAGTCATATTGATGGAAAGCTGTAAGTCACTTCTGCTCTTGTTTCAGAACCTCTGAGACAGAGGAGGGGTACTGCTGCCCGCTAAGCGATTACCACCTCCAAAGCCACTGCCATAATTGCTCTCCCCACAGTAACCCAACTTAATCCAAGTAGATAAAGTCCCTTGTATAAATTAGTAACTTTATCCTATTAAGTAGTCCGACCGTGGACTGCAAAGAACATTTGGAGGCGGTCTTAAAATATCTGAAAGTGTATCTTAAAAAGAAATACACAGAGCTTGGCATAATTGCACACAATGCAGTCCTGTAGGTCGTGGTTAGGATGATGGTTACGATGATTCGTATTTTATAGTGAAGTTTTTTTTCTTGATAAATTTAGGTACTTTCTGCATAATGTCTTCTAAAGCATGAAGTATGCTGTAGAAGCTTGTGGAATCATTGCAGAATGTCTGATTATTGTATGCCACCCAATTACTACCTACTAAGTAGTTTGCAAAATGCATATAAAAACATTATTCCGGCTTGTTTTATTTGCTTTCCTGAAGTCAAGAAGTAAATTTCAGAAAAGCAGAGTCTCTGTAAAGAAACAGTTTCACTGTTGGTTTGTACTGAGAGCTATTGTAAATGCTCCTGAGATTTTTAATATCTACTGTGATATTTACTTGAAATTTAAATATATGAATGAAGGTAGTATACCTACTGTAGTTAAAGAGTTCTCTGCTGCCTGGTGATAAATATAGTAACTGTCCCAGAAGCGAGAGTAATCCACTATGAATTAAGTGATCTGGGATGATGGTTCAAATGCTTTTTATGCTGTTTGCACATTCAAGTTTTTCAATTTGGGAAGTATGAAATATTTAGTGGTTGTAGATAAGAAAAAATTATCTGGTGGCTCTAGATGTTTGTGAGTGCTTGTTCATAGCTGTTACGCTGACAGATGAAGGAAGAAGTACATTTGGTTTGTGGC